GAGCAAAAACTGGCTAGTTTGGACTGTCCGCGTTTTGCAATTTTTTTTTGTGGTTTTTCCAAATGACTTTTGAGTGTCTGCTGTGGCTAACTTGCCTAGTCATGTTGTGAGTCAAACTGTGGCTCCAACAACTGGCCAAACGGTTACTGTTCCGGTTAATCATGGAGAGAAATTGGAGAAATTCAATGGCTTGAATTTCAAGAGGTGGCAGCAGAAAATGCTGTTTTACCTTACCACCTTGAATCTTGCTAGATTCTTGACTGAGACTGCTCGTGTACTCAATGAAGGAGAAGGAGATATTCAAGCAATCAGTGCACTTGATGCTTGGAAGCATTCGGACTTTTTATATCGAAACTACATTATGAATAGTTTAGCAGACACGCTATACAATGTGTATAGCACGATGAAAACTGCTAAGGAGTTGTGGGAGTCTTTAGATCGAAAATACAAAATTGAGGATGCCGGGGCTAAAAAGTTTATAGTCGGCAGATTCCTAGACTATAAGATGGTGGACTCCAAAACTGTTATTAGTCAAGTTCAAGAACTCCCAGTGATTCTTCACGAAATTTATGCTGAAGGAATGGTGTTGAGTGAAACCTTTCAAGTGGCAGCAATTATTGAAAAATTGTCCCCCGCATGGAAAGATTTCAAAAACTATTTGAAACACAAACGAAAGGAAATGAACGTTGAAGAACTTATTGTTAGACTTCGAATTGAAGAAGACAACAAAAGTTCAGAAAAGAAGTGGTTCAATCATGGTGTTGCTAAAGCCAATGTTGTGGACCATGGTCAAAGTAGTAAGAGTTACAAAAACAAGTTTGGGCCATCCAGCGGAAAAAAGATCAAGCACGGACTGAAAGGTGGAATTTCTAAGAAGAAATTTCAAGGGAAATACATCAATTGTGACAAAGTAGGCCACAAGTCTTCGGAGTACAGAATGCCAAAGAAGAAGACGAAATAAGCAAATATGGTTGACTACATGGCACAAGATATCTCAAAAATGAATCTCGCAACCATCATTTCTGAAATGAACATGATGGGTTCAAACCCTAAGGAATGGTGGATTGACACTGGTGCTACAAGACATGTGTGCTCTGATAAAGAGCTGTTTGCTACGTTTGAAGCAATTGAGAACGGGGAAAAGCTGTTCATGGAAAATTCAATAACCTCTGAAATCAAGGGTCAAGGGAAGATGGTTCTAAAGATGACCTCGGGAAAGGAGCTGAGTCTCAACAATGTACTATATGTGCCGAAAATTCGTAAGAATTTAGTGTCCGAGTCGCATTTGAATAAGCATAATTTTCGCATTGTATTTGAGTCAGACAATGCCATTCTATTAAAAAGTGGAATGTTTGTCGGAAAAGGTTATGTTTCCGACGGTATGTTTAAGCTGAATGTAATGGTTGTGAAACCAAAAATGAATAAAGCAAATTCTTCTGCTTATTTGCTTGAGTCTTCCAGTTTGTGGTATGGTAGACTAGGACATGTTAATTATGATACTTTATGTAGACTAGTTTACTCAAATAGCATACCCAAGTTCCATTATGATTCCGAACTTAAGTGTGAAACTTGTGTTGAGACAAAATTGACAAGGTCATCCTTTAAGTCAGTTGAACGGAACACAGAACCACTTGATTTAATTTACAGTGATGTTTGTGACTTAAAACTTGTACAAACAAGATGTGGCAACAAGTATTTTATTACTTTTGTCGACAATGACACAAAATACTATTATGTGTATCTACTTAAAAGCAAGGATGAAACTATAGAGAAATTTGTTCTCTATAAAAATGAAGTTGAAACTCAACTTAATAAGATAATTAAGGTACTACGGAGTGATCAAGGTGGTGAGTATGGAGCACCGTTTGCCGATTTCTGTGCACAACACGGAATCATACATGAAACCACCGTCCCTTATTCACCGCAACAAAACAGTGTAACTAAACGAAAAAATCGTACCTTAAAAGAAATGAAGAATGCAATGCTAGTAAGTTCTGGGTTACCTCAGAACATGTGAGGGGAAGCTGTGTTATCAGCAAATTACCTTTTAAATAAGGTGCCCTGATAAGAGTGTAAAATACCATATTTTCCACTCTTAATTATTGCATTCTTGTGATTATATTGTGCCAAAATGCACTCATTACTCTTATGTTTTGGTTTAGGTTGCATTTTGGTGAAAACAGTAAAATTTGGAAGAAACAAATGAAAAAGGGCCAAAGTGAGAAGAAGTGAAAGTTCAGGGACCAAGTTGCAAATAATTCATAGATGAGACGGGTGATAAAATGATGATTTGAGAAATTTAGGAGTCCATTGGTGCAATTAGAAGTCAAAAGAAGTTAAATATGCCTATAATATTTTCACAAATCAAATTCCAACCGGATATAAGGATTTTCAGATTTTGAGTTGAAGATTGAGATCAATGTTTGACCTAGTAAACGTCGGAATTTGGAAAGAGCTGTTTCTACCAATATTGTAGTACTTTAAGTTAGCTTTCCAATGAAATTTGAATCACTTCAATCGGACATTGGGAGAGGAAATTATGACCCAAATATTGAAAGCAGTCGCACAGAAAATTTTGGCCGAAAATTTACTTTCCTTATTCGGTTCAACCTCTTGTGGAAACGCGTTTTGCACACTTTTTTAACCCCAAAAATGTCCCAGAACGCCTCCATTCAGCCTCATACACTTTTCTCTCATCCTTGGCACAAGAAACTCCATGAAGAACTAAAATCTTTGTTGAAGCCAAGAAGGCTCTCGATCGGATTTGGTGATTTCAATATCTTTTCTTTTATATAATGTGATTTTTATTGTCGAATAACTCTGGGATTTAGATTTATTCTTTATTATTATACTTTTGATGTTTGTTTAACTTTTATTAAATTGTTCATGGATTCAATTATGTTTTTTTTCCATTGAATGACTAAAATATTGGTTGAATTTAAATTTCAATTGAATTATTGACGTGATTTGATTACTGCTCTATGCTTAAGGTATATTATCGCTTCTTGAATCTTGTTTTAATAAATAAATGCGGAATACGTTGTTAGAAATTCTAAATTCCAGGATTGCAAGTGAAATTAAATAAATATAGGTTTCCCTTTTTGAATTGATAATTGAAATTGGTTCAATTCTTATTAGATTTTTCATAGAATTATTCACGCTCTTTCTATCGTTTGGTCGAAATATTTATTGAGTTTCAATTTCATGTATGTCGTTGATGGATTATTTACTTCCGTATGCTTGATGTATATGGATACTTCTAAATCTGATTTCAATAGACTAAAGTAGGAATATGTTATTGGAACCTTGATTTTAGAGTAAAATGTATGAATGATTAATGTTGATTGATTCAATCCGAGAGAGTGAATTCCAATGCTTCACTATTTTGAATATTGATATTTAAATCCCACTTCAAATTGAAAACTCACTTCACAAAATCACGAAAACCCCAGTTTGTTTGATCCTTTAAACAATTTTCCTTCTCCCTGTTGATACGACACCCCAAAGCCGTACTACAATCACAGCGTTATACTTTGGGCATATTTAAATTTTGGCGCCGTTGCCAGGGATACGGTACAAGTAATCAAGGGATCAACCGAAAAAGGGTGACTTCGTTTCTTTCCCTTTATTTTTATTTGATTTAATTTTTTTGTGTTATTTTTATTTCGTTTTCACACAATTTCTTTATTTTTTGTGTTTGATGAGCAGGGATCGAGGCGATCAAGGGAGTTCTACCGAAGCACTTTATCCAATGTTTGAATCTCGATATAACTCTTACTTTGCTATTGCATCAATTGCTACGAACACCTCAACACATAACACTATGTTTGATAGTAAACACGATGATGCGTCTTAAAGGACTTTGCACGATTACTTGCACCCCACACGCACATCCATACCATCATGTATAATGTTTCCACCTAATATGCCACGTATGGAATTAAAATCGGGAATGATTCAAATTCTTCCTACTTTTCATGGACTTGACAATGAAAATCCATACTTGACAATGAAAATCCATACGTGCATATCACGCAATTTGAGAAGGTAGTTGCGACCTTCCACAATCAACATGGTACAACGGATGCAGTCAGGTTAAAATTTTTCCCGTTTTCACTTAAAGAGAGAGCAAAGACCTGGCTATATTCGTTGAGATCATGTTCAATTGGTACATGGGTTGAAATGATGCAATAATTTTTAATAAATATTTTCCCCACCATAAGACTAGCGCCCTTAAGAAGCAAATCTCATCTTTTACCCAAAAGGATAGTGAGCCCTATACTAGGCATGGGAGAGATTTAAAGAACTACAAGCCCTTTGTTCTCACCATGGTTATGAGAGCTGGCGTATAGTTAGTTACTTTTATGAGGGATTAACACCTAGGGAGCGTCAATTCGTAGAGATAATGTGTAACAGTGATTTTCTGTAAAAGGATCCAGATGAGGCCATAGAATATCTAGATGATCTTGCCGAGAAAGCTCATACTTGGACCGGACCTAGCCCTACCGAAAGTACCAATAGGTCACGACCTACAGGAAACCCCACTAGTACAGGTATCTATCAACTTAGGGAAGAAGATAGTCTTAAGGCCAAAGTGGAAGCCCTCACTAAGGAACTTGAGACCTTGCGTGCTAAAGGCTCTAAATCTGCACAACCTGTTTCCCATATTGAGTTTTCAGAGCCTTGTTTTGTGTGTGGAGGGAGTGATCACCTACCACAAGATTGTGCTACTTATGCTGAGATGAGGGGACTTTATGAGGAACATTGTAATGCCTTAGGCATATATCAAAAGCCCTATACTCCCTACTCCGAAACCTATAATGCAGGGTGTCTGAGTCACCCCAATCTCAGCTGGAAATCTGAAAATCAGCAACCTGCCCAATCCAATAGAGCCTACACTACACCTCCATATCAAACCACATCCTCTAGAAACTCTTTGGAAGGCACCCTATATGCATTCATAGAGGTAACAAAGTAAAACCAATAAAAAGTTTGAGACTATGATTACCCAAATTGTTGAGGAAAACAAGGAAATCAAAACTCATATGTCCAAATTAACTAATGCCTTAACTGTAGTTGAGCGGGGAAAATTTCCAGCACAAGCTCAACCAAACCCTAGGGGACAACATATGGCACAAATCTCGGGCTCAAGAGAAAACATCCTTAAGGAAGTTAATGCCATAACCACTCGGTCCGGTAAGGTTATTGAACCAACCTCCAAACTTAGGGAAGATGAAAAGGACCCTATCAATTCAGAAGAGAGTACCCCTAGCGAGGAGGTATTGAAAAATCCACCGCGAGTACCCTTTCCTCAAGCTCTTAAATCCACCTCGAAATCTATTGGTCAACATAGTGAAATCTTAGAGCACCTTAAACAAGTAAAGATCAATTTACCTCTTTTACATGTGATCTCCCAGGTTCCTACGTATGCTAAAGTCCTAAAAGACTTATACAATGTGAAGAGGAAACATCATGTCAAGAAAACCGCTTTCTTGATTGAGCATGTAAGCGCTGTAATTGAGCAAAGGATCCCTCCAAAGTATAAGGACCCTGGTTGTCCTACCGTTTCTTTTGTTATTGGGAATCATGAGATTTCACAAGCCCTTATTGACCTAGGGCCTAGTGTTAACATCATGCCTTACTCTATTTACTTGTCATTAGGCCTAGGAGAAATAAAACCTACATCTGTAAGTTTACAATTGGCTGATCGATCCACAATACGAATAAGGGGTGTAGTCGAGGATGTGCTAGTACAAATTGATAAATTTTGTTACCTCGTTGATTTCTTGGTTTTGGATTTAAATGAAGATGTGAATGTTAACTCCAAGATTCCCATTATTCTAGGTAGACCTTTTCTTCCCACAGCTAATGCTCTTATCAATTGTAGGAATGGTCTAATGAAACTATCATTTGGGAACATGACCCTGAACGTCAACATCTTTCACATCATGAAGCAACCTGAGAAAGATGATGAGTGTCATCAACTATACATGATTGACGTACTCATTGAGAAGGAAGTACATGCGCTTATTGACCCCGACCCTTCAAATTCTTTCCTTTTAAATTCTGAAATTCCTGCAGGGTATGATAATGGGGAATATACTGACATTTGTGCTGCTTTTGATGATTTTCAGGATTATGGGACACCACCAGTGACTACTTCCAATGAGTTTGGTGAAATGCAACGAAGGTTGACAACGCCCTGGCTGAATGCGGGCTAAAGAAACAAACATTGGGTCGAGCCAATGACAATAAACAAAGGTGCTGCTTGGGAGGCAACCCAAGGGGAGTTCATTCCTTTTTCTTTCTATTTTTATTTTTGCATTTTTAGGTTTTTTTCATTCCATGCATTCATCACTAATTGAGAACTTTTAGGCATCTAACACTTCAAGTTTATATGATTCACTTTGGTATTAAGGTAATATCTTTCTTTACCTTTATTTGGTGGACATGTTTGTTGCATTGAGGACAATGCAATGTTTAGTTGGGGGAGAGTGTATTTGGAATTTTGTTGTGAATTGCATACTTTCATGGAAATTTGGTCTAAAATTTTTTTTAAGTCCCTAATTCGCTATTATGTCACTATGAATTAATATTGTTTATGAAAGTTTGGATATTAAGACATTTGCTGAATCCTTTTGCACACATAAGCCTTGTGGTAAGATGAAAGTGTAACACATGTAGTTAGAGGAGTCTCTTGTTGCAGTTTTCTTATGTGAGAATTGGCGAGGATTGAGAGCCACAATATACTAAAGATGTAATAAGCATTCATTGATTGTGTGAATTGGGAACTTCTTTTGAGAATAACATTACACGGTATGTGGTAAGCTGGTGGTTTATACTTGGGAAATGATAACAGTCAATTTAGCATTGAATTTGAGCCTTCAGACTAGTTCTTTTCCATAATTATAATCCCCTAGTAGCCACTTTGAGCCAATACATATACATAATCATTTCTTTCATGTGCCTAATTTAGCCATATCTCCTTACATTGGAATAAAGTCTATAAATATTCAATTTTCTACCTTTATACTTCCAAGTGTATTGTAGGTGTTAAATGTTCATTTGAGAAGAAAAGTAACAAGTGATAAGAGATGATAAGTGCTCGAGGGAGACGACAAAAAACACAAAAGGAAAGGATATTTGAAAAAAAAAGCAAACAAACAAAAGAAAAGAAGAAAAAAATGAAAAAAAAAAAAGAAATGAAAAAAGAAGAAGGATGGATTGTTGTTGGGAATTGAAAGGTTGATGAATATGTTGATGTAAAGGATTAATATGTTGAAATACTTGTTGAGATGCCTAGCTAGATACTTGGAAGTCCTTCAATTCTTTTCACCCTACTTTTCATATAACCCAACTTAACCCTTTTAACACCCTTTACATTGGCTATTTTGATCTCAAGTAGGTTTGTGGTAATGAGTTGAAGGATTCTCCTATCATGTGATCAATGTTTGCTTGTTGCTTGTTCATAAATATTTAAGCCTCCATGTTCTGAGTGTGCATCTTTCCCAGCTCCATAGAGAGAAACCCCGCACTAAACACTTTAATACCCATGAGTTATGGGGCAGGACTTTTAGCTAGAGACACACTTGATGTTGCATGTGTTAGGGTTGGCGGTAAGATGGCTATGGCTAGACACACACTCACACATTTAGCAAATATTTTTGATATCTTGATAATCATAACATTGTTAATTTCTTGTGGTGTTGAGTTTGAAAAGATAATGAACTGCAGTTGAATTAGAACTCAACAACTTCACTTGTAATTTGGATCGGTCACTCATTTGTTTTGTTTTGCATTGAATTGCTAGGGACTAGCAATAAGCAAGTTAGGGGTGTGATAAGAGTGTAAAATACCATATTTTTCCCTCTTAATTATTGCATCCATGTGATTATATTATGCCAAAATGCACTCATTACTCTTATGTTTTGGTTTAGGTTGCATTTTGGTGAAAACGGTGAACTTTGGAAGAAACAAATGAAAAAGGACCAAAGCGAGAAGAAGTGAAAGTTCAGAGACCAAGTTGCAAATAATTAATAGATGAGACGAGCGATGGAATGATGATTTGAGAAATTTAGGAGTCCATTGGTGCAATTAGAAGTCAAAAGAAGTTAAATATGCCTATAATATTTTCACAAATCAAATTCCAACCGGATATAAGGATTTTCAGATTTTGAGCCGAAGATTGAGATCAACGTTTGACCTAGTAAACGTCCAAATTTGGAAAGAGCTATTTCTATCAAGATTGTAGTACATTGAGTTAGCTTTTCAATGAAATTTGAATCACCTTAATCAGACGTCGGGAGAGGAAGTATGACCAAAATAATGAAATCAGTCGCACAGAAAATTCTGGCCGAAAATTTACCTTCCTTATTTGGTTCAACCTCTTGTGGAAACGCATTTTGCACACGGTTTTAACCCCAAAAACGTCCCAGAACGCCTCCATTCAGCCTCATACACTTTCCTCTCATCCTTGGCACAAGAAACTCCATGAAGAACTAAAATCTTTGGTGAAGCCAAGAAGGATCTCGATCGGATTTGGTGATTTCAATATCTTTTCTTTCATCTAATGTGATTTTTATTGTCGAATAACTCTGGGATTTAGATTTCTTCTTTATTATTATACTTTTGATGTTTGTTTAACTTTTATTAAATTGTTCATGGATTCAATTATGTTTTTTTCCATTGAATGACTAAAATATTGTTTGAATTTAAATTTCAATTGAATTATTGACGTGATTTGATTACTGCTCTATGCCTAAGGTATATTGTCGCTTCTTGAATCTTGTTTCAATAAATAAATGCGGAATATGTTGTTAGGAATTCTAAATTCCAGAATTGCAAGTGAAATTAAATAAATATAGGTTTCCTTTTTTGAATTGGTAATTGAAATTGGTTCAATTCTTATTAAAATTTTCATAGAATTAGTCACGCTCTTTCTATCGTTTGATCAAAATATTTATTGAGTTTCAATTTCATGTATGTTGTTGATGGATTATTTACGTCCGTATGCTTGATGTATATGGACGCTTCTTAATCTGATTTCAATAGACTATAGTAGGAATATGATATAGGAACCTTGATTTTAGAGTAAAATGTATGAATGATTAATGTTGATTGATCCAATCTGAAAGAGTGAATTTCGGTGCTTCACTATTTTGAATATTGATATTTAAATCCCACTTCAAATTGAAAACTTACTTCACAAAATCATGAAAACCCCAGTTTGTTTGATCCTTTAAACAATTTTCCATCTCCCTGTGGATACGACATCCCAAAGTTGTACTACAATCACCGCGTTATACTTCGGCGTAATCATGCCCCGAAAGAAATCGGAAAAGACCCCTTATGAGTTATGGAAAGGAAGAAAGTCTACCTATAAACACTTGCGAGCGTGGGGGTGTCTTACAAAAATGTCTGTTCAAACACCAAAGAAGGTAAGGATAGACCCGAAAACTATAAACTGCGTCTTCATTGGCTATGCACGTAATAGCAGTGTTTATCGATTTCTTGTGTATGATTCAAAAATTTCAGATATACACAAAAACATGATAATGGAATCGAGGAATGCTTCATTCTTTGAAGAAGTATTTCCATACAAGTCCAAAGAGGAAGCCAGCTCCTCTAAACGAACATATGGGACAATGACTGAAAATAGTCAGGACAAGAATTAGAAGAGGAGACTGAGGTTAGACACAGCAAACGGGAAAGGACAAAAAAGTCTTATGGTCCCGATTTTCTGACTTATATGCTAGAAAGCGAACCTTAAAACTATCAAGAAGCTGTGAATTCCTTGGAAGAATCTCGATGAAAAAATGCCATTAAAGGTGAAATAGATTCCATACTGCAAAATCATACATGGGAGCTAGTGGATCTTCCTTCTGGATGCAAACCACTAGGCTATAAATGTATTTTCAAAAGGAAAATGAAAGCAGATGGAACTATCGAAAAGTACGAGGCCAGATTAGTAATAAAAGGTTACAAACAAAGGGAATGCCTTGATTACTTTGATACGTATTCTGCAGTGACGAGAATAACATCTATTAGAGTGATACTTGCGATTGCTGCTTTGTGAAATCTAAAAGTACATCAAATGGATGTTAAAACGGCTTTTTCTAAATGGAGATTTAGAAGAAGAAATTTACATGGAACAACCCGAGGGGTTTTCGTCACCAAGACAGGAAAAGAAAGTCTGTAAACTGGTGAAGTCATTATATGGCTTGAAACAAGTACCAAAACAATGGCATGAAAAATTTAACAATGTCATGATAGAGAGTGGATTTAAAATTAATGAATGTGACAAATGTGTTTACGTTAAAGACACTAAAGATGGCTATGTTATTTTATGTCTTTACGTTGACGGCATGCTTATTGTTGGTAGTAACAATAAGATAATTGAATCCACTAAAAATATATTAAATTCGAGATTTGATATGAAAGACATGGGTTTAGCTGATGTTATACTTGGAATCAAAATCTCAAGAACATCAGATGGGCTTGTTCTAAGCCAGTCACATTATGTGGACAAAATTTTGGAAAAATTCAACAAGGATGATACTGGCTTGGCTAGAACACCGATAGATACGAGTCAACATCTTTCTAAAAACAAAGGTGAAAGTGTCTCTCAAGTAGAATACTCGAGAGTTATTAGAAGTTTAATGTACTTAATGAGTTGTACAAGACCAAACATAGCCTACACAATCAGCAAATTGAGTAGATATACGAGTAATCTAAGAAATGATCACTGGAAAGGTATAGTAAGAGTATTGAGGTACTTAAGATATACTCGTGACTATGGAATACACTACACCAGACATCCAATGGTCATTGAAGGATACAGTAATGCTAATTGAATATCTAATATAAAAGACTCAAAGTCCACCAGTGGATATGTGTTTACTTTGGGAGGTGCAGTCATCCCATGGAAATCCTCTAAGCAAACGATTATAGCTAGATCTATGATGGAATCTGAATTTATAGCCCTAGGTAAATGTGGTGAAGAGGCCGAATGGTTGCGCAACTTCTAGAAGATATTAAAAGATGGTCCAAACCCGTGCCTGCAATTTGCATATATTGTGACAGTCAATCAGCACTAGGAAGGGCACAGAGTAACATGTATAATGGTAAGTTTAGACATATACGTCGTAGACACAATACCATTAGACAATTACTCTCAACTGGAGTTATCACAATTGACTATGTTAGGTTAAAGGATAACATT